AAAGTGGCAGTAGATAAAGACAGCAAGAAAGTTCAACAGAGAGGGCAGATGGGTATGGTTTCCAGGTAAGATGTCTATCAACGACAATGCCAAGTTTGGTCACTGAGTCAGAAGGGTGGATGGGGACATTGACGATATGGATGTCAAACAGAGACGGGTCATGGCAAGGGTGGAACTTACGTCGTGTCAGGACAAAAAAGAATACTTCGAGTCTTAGGGGCATTGAGACATAAGCTCCAGCATCTACACCAATACAAAAATTAATTTACTGCAGCCTGGAGCAGCTTATTCAGAGTGGACATAGTGGAACAGTTAGCCACCAATGTTGTGTCATCAGCATATTGAAACAACTGAAAAAGGGGCCAGGGGCAAGGCATATCAACGACATAGAAAATGTACAGAAGAGGGGATAACACAGAACCTTGAGGGACTCCAGCATGGAGCATTAAAGAGTGAGAGAGATCTCCATCAATAGAAATCATGGCTCGTCAACAGTGGAGGCAAGAGGAGATTAGACGAATATAGGGAACAGGAAAGTGGAACATATGCAATTTGTGAGTAAACTTTGATGTCAAACAGAGTCAAAAACACACTGGGAATCAAATAGTGGCAGGCAGGAGGGTCTGTGGATGTTAAAATGATTGGTAAGTAAGTCAGACAATTTTAGAAGTTGATCCAAGGTAGAAAGATGTGGACAGAACCCTGCTTGCATATGCAAGTTGTGTACAGCAATGAACTGATGAAGATGGGAACGAGGATGTGTCAATATGGCCTGGATTTCCGCTTCTTTGACCTTCTACTCTCACCTTCAGGTTCTGGAGTGCTATGCCCTCTGGCTTGCTTTCTATATTAAACTCCCGAGTCCCACTACAGAAATGTATAACCGTATCATCTTTCTTCACATTCTGCTACACCTTCGTCAGCTTCTTTCTTGTTATGTCAATAAATGCTTTCGTGACCAAAATGGCATCTTCTCCAACATTTTCGCCACCACAGTACATACCCAAAGAAGCATTTTGGTACCGGCCAATCATTTCCTAAACCTTTATCTTATGTCCCTCCCACCTGACAATCCTGATCATGTTGAGGTGCCGATGTTCTCTCTTCCCCCTTTTATCTATCCTGAGTCCAAATACTCACAGACTCCATTTAGTGTTCCCACACATTCTTCATTGCATGAAATAATCTGACCATGTGCACTTTGATTTCTCCAGATTGTATCCTCTCCTTGCCCATATCGCTATACTTCAGTTACCCATTTCCACCTCTATTGCAGATTTTACTCTTTTACTCACCTCTTATATTCTCCATCTTTATCTATCCTTGTCGCTAGGTTGAAGAGAGCATATAATCCTCTACGGGCTCGCCAGTTCTCCCCTGGGATCGGAATGAAATAATGCATATGTTGTTGTTGGTGGTGGATTTTTTTTTTTCAGATTTACTGATGATAGGTGGAATTCTCTGAAAGTGGTATAATGTGGTAACAAGTGATAAATCAAAAGAGATATTGGATTAATACTCGTTTGTTTGTAATTAAGCCCACAGCTACACAAGCTATCTGAGCTCTGCCCACCACGGGTATCGAAACCCGGATTCTAGCGATGTAAGTCCGCTGACATACCGCTGTGCCACTGGGGGGGGGGGCTGGATTAACAATTATTATTTTATGATTGAGTAATGCCCAAGAGTAGATTTGTAGTATAAATTATACATAATCATGAAATTTCTAGATAAACATAAGATTATTGTGTGAATAAATGACATATGAGAACAATACACCTTAACTATTGTGACGATTTTTTAACTCTAAGTCGTTTGAATAAAATTAACTTCTAAATATTTATTCTTTTCTATCACATAAAATATTAATTAGCCGCAGAAAGCTTACTGGCCTTAACCTTCGCGAAAATACTTATATATAAATATCTGAAAGTCCTATCTATACCAAGAAAATAATGCTGATATTAATTATTAAAGTCACTTAAAATTATGATAGGGACAATTCTTTAGTTGTAGTGTATTTCACTCTATTAACATTATGCTATCAAGTGTTCTATTTCGTTATTTTATAGAACATTCACTTTAGCCCCTTCTTGTATTTGTTTTCCCCTCATATTTAGAGAAACGTGCTCTAATTCTCTTAAAGCACCTAATTCGATAGAAATGGTTAACAAAATCACTATTTTCGGAGGATAATGTTTTCTTCTTTTCTAAAGAACATTACCGATTTGTATTTATTGAGAATATTTCTGTTTTTATGGATTCAATACTAAATTATGTACTTCATTATTCTATAAC